GAGCGGCCAAAAGAGGGCAGGGATCATAGAGACTGAATGTGAGAAAAGCCAAAAGAGGGCAGGGATCATAGAGACTGAGTGCCAGAGGGGCCAAAAGAGGGCAGGGATCATAGAGACTGTGTGTGAAAGGGACAAAGGAGGGCAGGGATCATAGAGACCGAGCGCCAGAACGGCCAAAAGAGGACAGGGATCATAGAGACTGAGTGTGAAAGAGACAAAGGAGGGCAGAGATCATAGAGACCGAGTGACAGAGCGGCCAAAAGAGGGCAGGGATCATAGAGACTGAGTGCCAGAAGGGCAAAAAGGGGGCAGGGATCATAGAGACTGAGTGTCAGAGCGGCCAAAAGAGGGCAGGGATCATAGAGACTGACCGCGAGAAGGCCTTGGGGCAGTGCGCACAGGCGTAGGGGCGGTGCACGGCGCCCTGATGTCCGCGCAGGTGGTGCCCCATGCGGTCCTTCCGCTTGAATCGCTGCTGACACACGGGGCACTGGAACGGCCGCTCGTCCGAATGGGCCAAACGGTGCCTCCGCAGGTGATAAACGTCACGGAAAGCTTTCCCGCAAGCTTCGCAAGCGTGGCTCTTCCTTTTGCGGGCACTTCCGGCGCCGCTTCCGGTCGTGCCGTCCGACAGCGCCCCCATGAGGATGGGAGGACTGGAAGCGGCGCTGCCGTCCGGGAGCAACGAGACGGCGGCGGATGCGGCGGCGTTGGAGCCTTGCGACAGCGCCCCCATGAGGGCGGGAGGTCTGGCGCCGTGCGTGGCCTGGTGGCGCCGCAGGTTGTAACCGTTCTTGAATTCCTTGGCGCACTGAGCGCAGACGTACGGCCCTTTGCTTTTGGACTTCCGGGTCGGAGGGGTCGCTTCCGGCGCTTGAGAAAGGGGGACTTCCGGTGGAGCAACGGGTGCTTCCGGTAGGGGAGGAGCGGGTTTTAAAGCTCCCGGATCGACGGTGGAAGCGGCGGCGGTGGCGGGGGAGGGGTCGGGAAGCAGCGGGGGGAGCAGCTCCGATGGGGGGAGGGCGTCGGGGGGCGGGGCCACCGCGGGGGGCGGGGCCGGCTGGAGGGAAACGCTCATTGGTTGGCTGCGGCGCGTGTCCCGCCCGCTCGAGGAACGGACCAATCACAGGCCCGGGACCCACAACGCAACGCAATTAGGAACGCCGTAAGCCCCGCCCACTTCCGGCTAAGAGCGATCAAAGGTCACGCCCCCCCCCCGGTGGGAGGCAACCAGTAAGCCCCGCCCACTCGTGGAGCAAACCAATCACAGGCCAGCACCAGCAGCCCAATACAATAAGAAAACCATAAGCCCCGCCCACTGGAGGAGCAAACCAATCACAGGCCAGCACCAGCAGCCCAATACAATAAGAAAACCATAAGCCCCACCCACTCGTGGAACAAACCAATCACAGGCCAGCACCTGCAGCCCAATGCAATAAGAAAGCCATAAGCCCTGCCCACTCGTGGAACAAACCAATCACAAGCCAGCACCAGCAGCCCAATACAATAAGAAAACCATAAGCCCCGCCCACTCGAGGAACAAACCAATCACAGGCCAGCACCTGCAGCCCAATTCGATAGGAAAGCCGTAAGCCCCGCCCACTTCCAGCTCAGACCAATCGCCCGCCAAGGAAAAAAGCCACGCCCCCAGGTGAAAGCAACCCCCCCTAAGCCCCGCCCACTGAGGGCACTGACCAATCTCTGACGACGTTCACTAAGAAAACCACGCCCCCAAACTGGCACTCACAAGCCCCGCCCATTCCAGGTCACCTGACCAATCGTTGGACCCGCCCATCACAAAGCCACGCCCCCCCGTCCAGATTTCTACAGGAGCTCCGCCCAGAATCTGGCCACGCCCACCACAAACCCGCCCACAAGCAATAGGCACGGCCAGAAGTCCCGCCCACTCCGGGCTCTGACCAATCACAGATCTCAACAAAGCCCCGCCCACTCCAGGCATTGACCAATCTTTGGCCAGGCTCAGCGCTAAGCCCCGCCCCCAGCAACAAGCACCCTTATAAGCCCCGCCTGCTGTGGGCTCTGACCAATCACAGGCTACATCAAGCACAAAGCCACGCCCAGAACCGATAGACACTCCCACAAGCTCCGCCCACTCGGTGGCCACGCCCACGCATGCAAAATACCCGCAAGCCCCGCCCACTCCAACCCTTGACCAATCACAGGCCACGCCCTCCAGAAAGCCACGCCCCCAAGGGCCAGGTACACCCAGAAGACCAACCAATCAGGACCTTCCTTCAAGCCCCGCCCCTTTTAGCCATGCTTATAAGACCTCACCTCCTTTGGCCAATCAGGCTTTTCCCCTTTAGCTCCGCCCCCTTTAGCATTGCCAATCAGGCCCCACACCCTGCCAAGCCCCGCCCCCTTTCATGCATCCCAACCAGCCCTGCACAAAACCCCACCCCGGTGTATCCTGGCCAATCAGGGCCCTCCCCCAAACCAAGCCCCGCCCCCATTCAACAAGCCCCGCCCCGTTACACCCAACCAATCAGACCCTGTGCTCAGTAAGACCCTCCCCTTCATCCCCGCCAATCAGACCGCACCCTGTTTAGCCCAGCCAATAAAGCCTCTCCCCGTGTAAGCCCCGCCCCTTTAGCCCCGCCGATTGGACCACGCCCCCGTTAACCCCGCCCCCAATCGGCCCCGCCAATGAGGCCACACCCCCAATAAGCCCCGCCCCTTTC